TTATCCCCCTTTTTAAAAATGACTTAAGACTACATTGAAGATTTTTTGCGTTGGCGGGGCCAATGGGGGTTCAGGGGTTACAACCACCTGAACCCCACACCCACACCCCCCTCTCCCTTTCAAACTACCTGGATCCGCCCATGTAACATATGGTTTGCTGTTTTCCGAAACGATTAGGCACCTTAAGATTTTCCACCAAATTATCCATAGATGCTTCAACCCTCTGAATTTGCTTTTGCTGACGAATAGATCTAAAGTTTCTTTGACTGTCTAAAAACATGCTCAGATGATTATCATCATGCGTTCTCCTAAACTTCCTAAGATTAGCATATTATTGTGTCTTGGCTTTCTGGCAGTCGCTATCGAACCAAACAGGTTGTTTCACAACTCTTTGTTGTATCCGCCTTTTCATTAACTGAGCAGAATTCAGGATTAAATCATTCAATGAACTATCAGCTTGGTTAATGAAAATCAAGAATATCATTAAGATACTTTTGTCTTTACTAAGTTTGTTGGTTTTTTTGCTGGGTTTTTTTATTTCCCGACCGACCGACCCATTGGTGACTACGTGAAACACATAAAAAATGATGCCCTACGTGTGTATGGTTTCAGCGGATGTGGCCTGGATGCACTCACAGATAAAACCAATGTATTACAATCTGGCTTCATTGTGGAGGTGTGTTGCCTTGTGCATAGATCCCAGGTCACATATCAGTTGAAGTCAAGCCGGTTACGGAGAGTCCTTGGATGGGTGACCGTGTTTGGCAGCTTGACTCCTGAGAGTTTCTAGGACTTCTGTCCTGCCCCACATCGAAGCACATGTGGCGTATGTGGTTTCACCTTAGGAAAGTGAGTTTGTTCACGAATTGCCTCTGTTCATCAAGCAGTGAATGGGTACCCGGTGGTTGAGGTCATATGACTATTAACCCAGCTTGGGTTATCCGGAGTAACAATGGATCGCGCTTTGAGCATGTACAAATAAAGTTCAGTTCAGTGTGGAAACGGTCGCTTTATAAATAGCCATCATCATATTAACATCTGAATCCCATCAGGTATTTAAACTCCTAATACATCTGTTGTGTTTCACGCGTTATACAGATTAATATTAGTGAAACATCAAGATAACTCAGCACATATGAAATTAAGGGAAACAGAAACGGCGACACCGCAACTTTTTCAAATAGGGTTTGAATGTGACGCAAACGATTATTTACTCATGGAAACAAATAAGGAAACACATGAAAGTGAAAGTGTTCCTTTATTCATTTCACCCTCAGTGAAGAAACCCGGAAAAGAATAAAGGAACACTAGTACGTTTATATGTTCCCTTATTTGTTTCCATGAGTATATATTCCAAACATGGCGAAATGGCATTGTCAGCGTTTGTCATACAGTGTGTCTTGATTTCAGAGTATACATTGCGTATACTGTAGTATTATCAATATTGACAATATGTGTGCATTGTAACCTGACATCAATCCCCAGTGCTGTTTTAATCTCTCAATACGCAAGTGGTACGCCTGGACAGCGAGAGATGAGTTATGGTGGTGATTCTAGGTTACTGAAGATTTTAATGAGTAGTTACTTTGTTCCCTTTGTTCTGAATCTATCCCGTGAAGATCCGGGTTAGAAATGATCTTCAGTAACCCATGCTTGTCGTAAGAGGCGACTAACGGGATCGGGTGCTCAGGCTCAATGACTTGGTTGACACATGTCATCGTATCCTAATTTCGTAGTTCGATGCTCATGCTGTTGATCATTGGATTGTCTGGTTCAGACTGTAATATTTACAGACCGCCACCATATAGCTGGAATACTGCCGGGTGTAGCGTAAACTCACTCCACTCCACTGTAATTAGGTTGCTGAGGAGAAATGTTATCCCGGATCGTCACTGGCGAACTTAAATATACGGGAGATGGGGTAGCCAAATAGTTGGGTGTAACTCTTTAAAACCCCTTACCTGGGACGGCCGTCAAACGCAGGGTAACACCATACCTACTACTACTACTAGTTATGCACACACAACTGATTACCGCTCCGTTGTGTAGTGGTTAGAGCGTCCGCCCGGAGAGCGGAAGGTCCCAGGTTCGATGCCCGACTGCGTCATACCAAAAGACGTTAAAATATTTTACTTGTTGGTCCTGCCTGGCGCTCGGCATTAATGGGTACAACAAGGACTGGTCGACTCGGAGTCAGTATAATGTGTCTGAGTGGGGTATTCATGCTTCACTGTGGCGTGGTATCTCAGTGGGTTAGCACTATAAAACCAGCTTCAGTCTGGGCTAGTACAAGCAGCCACACATACACATACACACGCATGCACGTCGTCATATGAGCGAAATATTCTCAAGCACGACGTAAAACCCAATTTCACCTCACCTCACCTCACAACTGATTAGTGTATTGAGACTATTTTCAGAGATATACTCACCACATGGTTTTATTTATAAGCAGATGTTTCCGATACACAGTCCAGGCCAGTACTGCAGTGTACATCATGGGACAACATTCACCTGAAGACACACGCAATGTGCGAAATAGCCACTGGACCACTTGCCCGTGGCTAGTAAAAATCCAGTCGGGCCAGTAAATTTGCACAGTCACTTGCCCGACTGGCTAATGAATTTTCATGGGGTCTTTTTGTAAATATGTCACTCTCTCCGACTTGTTAAGTTATAATACATTTTTAAATCATGCGGGATTATGGCTTGATAAAAATGTTCATCATATTAGCAGTTTATTGATGAAACCCGTGTCATGCCGACAATATTTTATTGTCATCTATTTTATAAACCTTTTTCTAGTTTCAACATTCAGATTTCGGCCTAGTGAATTATTTTGTGGGCTAGTAACTATCAGGCATAACTAGCCCGACTGGCTAGCAAAAATTGGAAACTATTTCGCACACTGCACACATGATTTCGAAACGTGTGTTACTGCCAGTGTTCGGACTATGGTACTTCCTGTTTCTGGTTTAGGGGAACGGAAGAAATGTTCAAAGACCCTGGTTTTGAGAGTCCCGACCCCCACTCTACAAGCCATAGGATGTCACATGACATCTTCCACTGCTCGTGTAGAAGGAAGACATTCGGTGGAAGGGTCTTCACGGTGGGGCAACACTTATCATCTACAGTCCCTTTAAGTTCAAATGAGAACGATGAATGATGAAATAACTCGAAATAGGGATAAGTGCACAAAACCTAAATAAGACATGTGGTCTGAAACAAACGGCTGTTTTCACTCTTCACACCGAGGGGTGACGACCGGTTGGTAGAACAGCTCCGGCACGCACTTTAGGTGCAACTCAACACAGGCAGTTTGACTGCCAACATGCAACACTCAGCCGATGTTAAATAGTTGATTGTGAAGGTGTATGGTTATTTTAAACTTGAAGCAGAGAGAGAAAAACTCAGACAGACAGACAGACAGGCAGGCAGGCGGGCAAGCAGGCAGGCAGGCAGGCAGGCAGACAGACAGACAGACAGACAGACATACAAACTAACATTTGTATAGCGCCGATATCCAGCTCAGCTCAGCTGCTCAAAGGCGTTTTGTTTTTCCCTCGTTCACTGGATGTCAATCTCAACGGCACATCGTATTGTCAATCTCAACTCCCTGGGGAGCATACAATTATTATGTGAACGACCAGGCATTGTTCGTCCGTTCATCTGCGCTGCGAACTATCAAGCAGAAACAGGATGAGGGATATGAGCCTGTCTTTCTGGACGAGGCATGGATGAATGCTTCCCACACAGCCTGCCGTCAATGGGTTACCCGGTGAGGATATCAAAGACACAGGGAGAAAGTTACCTATTGGAAAGGGCGAGAGACTTATAAACTAGTGGGCAAAAGAAAGCGAACGTCCTTATTAATGATCGATAAAATCAAAGCAAAACATACAATGTTTTTAAGTTATTATACATTTGGTGAAACCAGCACTTGAGACGATGCACCCACAATGTCTATGATAAACTCCTCACAGATAAAGAGCACGTGTCATGTAATGGGCAGAGGGGTAGGAATAGCACAGTTCACAGATACAACAAGAGTCAATCATGGAATGTTTCCGTCATGTCAAGTCTCTGGTCACGCATACACATCCTTACGCATTCGGAATCCTATTCTACTCGTTCCCGAGAGCGTCTTCAAGTTCTTGCCGGTTCGCTGGGGTCCGTGGTCGTTTTCTCACCTGGCCGTTTCGGCCTAAAGGATTTTAATAACCTGGACAACTTTGCCAAAAATTCAAAATAAGAAGTGTTCACTTTCTTTTGCCCATGAGTTTAGTTTTCCACGCTGGATCGGCCAGTCAGGGTTCTCAGAGCTAAGGCCAAGGACAACAGCGACTACCTCATAGAAATGAATGGTGATGTCTCTCTGGATGGGCGAAAGATTAGTTACTGAGTTAGTGCCAGCTCTGCCTGTAAAAGCACTTATTGTCATGGACAATGCCCCTTATCACAGAGTGCAAGATACACACAGTAAAGCATAACTTCCAGTGGCCGAAATTCCTTACGTTTATGGAAATGTTTTTGCGACTTCTATTTATATTTATTAACACCTGTCTGTCATGTCCGACTTTCACTCTCTGACTGACTGACTGAGTTTGGTTTTACGCCGCTTTTAGAAAATATTCCAGCAACATCATGGCGGGGGACACCAGAAATGGGCTTCACACATTGTGCCCATGTGGGGATTCGAACCCGGGTCTTCGGCGTGACGAGCCAACGCTTTAACCATTAGGCTACCCCACCGCCCCTTTTCACTCTCTGATGCAGCGTTAATCATATTTCGGTTGCTGTGAGATTGACTCCATACGTCCTGTAACAAATGCCTACATCAGATTGTCCTATTTCCTACAGCGTCAGTGTTGAGGTCTACATATGACCTTTTTGTAAATTTCTACGCTGCCAAATATATCGCCATTGCCTTCTTATCAGCCCGTACGCTTTACCCAAGGTGATATTTAGTTATCAGCCAGCCTGTCCCAGACACGTGACGGACTACTGATAACAGTAGAGACACCGTAGTACTCATGGGCCCAATCCGGACATTTCAGACATACGAGAATTTGGGGTTCTACTTCTGAAGGTCGACATTGGATTCTGTTTGGAAAACCAGGTAACTTCTTTCACCTGCGTAAATGTGCATGAGAGAATTTAATTTTACGATGACCTTGAACATCGTCTCTCTCCCTACCCGCCCCTCCATAATAAATATACTTAATGAATAGTAAATATTTTTCAGGTTTACTGTTCTAAAACGAAAGAATTCATCTAAAACTTTTATTACTTTGTGTACAAACGAGTATAACAAAAATATTTTCGTTGCTGTGAGCCTGACCTATATAAACTAAATTAATGCACATCAATGTTTATCAATGTGCTTTCTGTTGTATGCAGCTGCACTTTGGTTGAGTCATTCAAATGTTTGATTAACATTCGTATCTGCAGTTTATGACAATCACAATCTGATGCATATTTTGGGGGAATTGGCCTTTTTTCTCAAGAGCAGCGCCCATATCTTTCGTGACCATCTTTCAACATACGCCTGTTAGCAAAGCTTTTATCTTTGTCATCGTAATACTGCTGTCATCACTGTTTGATAGCGATTCATAACTGCATGCTCGTTATATTGTCGACTTTGCTTTTCACACTTTTATTTAAACGGTTTATCAGTTTGTTTTCATTACAAATTCTAGTGACCTATTTAAGCACAGATATGTGCTTAAAATTGTGACATTAACTATTATACGCGTTTATGAATTCAGTATGCTACCAACCTGACCTAGCTTTGCTAAACTGCTCCTTTCATGACCGGACACCTGGTGTCATTACCATTTGATAGTGTCTCATAACTGCATGCTCTGTCATCGTCTCGCATCATGTTAATCACAGGATTGTCTGAACCAGACTCGATAACTTACAACTGTATAATAATGCAAACACATGATCATGCAATCGTCAGAATCAACTCGTATGGACGTGGAAAGTGTTTTATCGCTTGTATTTCCACCTACCACTCATCACGGGCATGGGCAAGAACTAAGATATATCTTGTAACCGAGATCGTTTAAGCACTGTCTGATCATGTTTGATAAATGTGTAGTTAGGGGACGTAATATGAGATGCGACTAGCATTTAACAGTTACATTAAGGCAAAATACTATGCAAGTTAGTGTTTTGTTCTTGTTACGTTTTTGTTCAGTTAAGGGATCTGGGGTTCCTTTCACAAAGCACTAAGGTGATCGTAAGTCACTAAGGTCACTTAGTGCAATGATAAAGAATGGGAGTTAGGGTTAACCTTAGTACAAAGGAGCCCAAGGTATATGGGAAACCTATGTGAGGCAATTTCGTGTTTCTCTCAGGGAGCCACCATATCTTGCATGTGGGAGCTTGAGTTAAATTATATGTGTTTTCAGTTACAGGTGCAAAAATGTATATATGAACCTTAATAATTGTTTTCAGATCTTGCAAAATTTTATAGCAAACTTCATGGCGTCTTTATTTCAAACCTTTAGTAAGACGAAATGTTGTCGATAAATCCCAATTACACACTGACACACTGACCACACCCGTTACCCTACACACCCACAGCCAAGCATCCACACCCGTACCCGTTATATGGCCATTCCCATATCCCACACAGAAACACGTCGCTAGTCCTGAATCGCAAGAACCGTACATTTTAAAACCGTGTTGAAGTTGTACTCATTCTGTCACAGCTTCTTTCACACTGTCTTGCCAACGCAGCTTATCCGTTGGAATGTTTCGTTTCTGTTTGTTTAAGTATTGTAAGTGTGTCAGTGGTTAAGGTCACGGCAGTCCAGGAGATAACGTATTCTACTGCAGGCGACTGAAAACGCCCACCTTGGGCGTTACCGTTTCAGTGACAAAGTTAAAGTGTGTTGTTAGATGTATTTCTAATTCTCCACCTAACGAATTGTTGTTTTATGTTACTTATTATACACAGTTAACTGACATTGTCGGGGAGAAGGGGGTAGCCTAGTGGTTAAAGCGTTCGCCCGTCATGCCAAAGACCCGGGTTCGATTCCCATTTGGGTACAATGTGTGAAGCCTATTTCTGGTGTCCGCCGTCGTGATATTGGTGGAACATTGCTAAAAGCGGCGTAGAACCATACTCACTCACTTACTAATTAACATTGTCCATAAGTTCATTTCTTACTTTGGCTATTTATTTGCAGGTTCCAAGCGAAGAATCGACACCGGGTGTCCAGTATCTATGTTTGACGTAAGAGACGACACCAGCGAGAATCAGTAGTTTCCAGGACATTGTATCCTGAAGGTGTTCATGATGTCACAGGTGTGTACCTGATCTCAACATGATGTTGAGTCAAAACAATGTGTATCAATGAGCTCATATCATTTAATAACCAACAAATATCCATTTACCTTTCACCAAGTTACCCACCTTAACCACAACCGATTCATGAACACCTGGTGGTACGCAGTGGAAATTAAACTAAAATATCTATGGTGTGCAGTGGAAGTTAAACTAAACTACATAAATCTTGACTTACCTTTCAATCAACTAAATGTGAAATCCTTTTTAACCAACTGAACGTGAAATCCCCTTTTTTACGCAATGAGAAATGTGACATAAAGTAATAAATAATGAAGTTTAAACTTAATATGAAGAAACTGTCTATCTAGCAACTGTCAAAATGTTAATGGATAATTCTCTCAACTAGGTGTATTTCTATTTCTAAGATGCCTAGCGGTTAGAACAATCGAAAAAAAATACACTATCAGACAATAAAGGTATAATTTTTGATGACGTAACAATTGAATTACGTTATCCCGTCACTGCGCCATTCTAGTGTGCCCCCTCGTAATCGAACCATTTTACATTACGTTACAATGTAAGCGACGTCACGATGCATGTCAGTTGTCATCGCCTCGTACGGCCTCCTACAGTAAACTACTCCGTTGCATCCCGTTTCTTGGTTTGCAGTTGCTTCACGCAGCTAACATCACTGGTGGAAACATTACGTTTATGTTTTACGACGGTTAAATGTGTCAATTCGACTCACAAGTTTTCAGCGACACGGTAACGTTCGCAATGTTTACATTCCCACAATGCAATCGTGGAATGTCGCTTGACTACTCAGCTTCATCTGGATGTACTGATCTAAACTTACGTTGGTAGTAGAAATGCGACGTTCATATTGCCCCATATGGTTTATGTTAATGACAGATGTAATTAAAATAATTCTGAGAAGATATTTAATCCGAACGTAGACCGTCATTTAACTGTTGTCATTTGTTTTTTTCTGGTAACGTTCGTCTTAACTTAGGGGGGAAGACACATCAATAGAACAGCGCGCCAGTTAGCCCTCTGTGAGGATTCTTAATTTAGGTCACCGACACCGTCGTTTGTTTTCGCCTTAAATTAATCGTAATTATCCTAAGAAAATATTATAACGTTAAAGCACTCGGCCGCAAGCGTCCTCGTGCTTTAACTATAATAGTTCAGGGCGAAAGTGTACTTTATTACACTATACATGGTGGTAGAGCGAACTGTATGTCTTAAATACTATATACTTTTCTAGCTAGTTCAACATCTATCACTTGGGGAGAGTAACCCATTAACAACCGGCCACAAGTGCCTAAATCTGAAAGTTTAACATCTGTATCATACGCAGTCGAACTTCGCACAGACTCTCGTGCAGCATGAAAAGCTATTGTCCTTGCCGCGCTTCGGGTGTATTTGTGCGATGAAGTACTGTGTCCGAGAACATCAGTTCTTTACGGACCCTTCATGAACACCTGGTGTCACCAAAGGCCAGATATATGAGCTATAACCACAGACCTTTTGGGGCGTCTACGTTACATTGTATAAACATAATAATCAAAGATGTGAGCTTTAATGATAGATCTCTTTTGAGAGTCTCAGTCACATTGCATTAACATAATAACGTCTGAGATCTATAACAATGGCCCTTTTTAGCGTCTAAGTCACATTACATCAACGCAGATGAGACATAATTATCACACATTACTATTGCTATGCCCACAAGTACTGGTCACTTGTATGTAACGCTAACGGCTGAGAACAGTCAGCCTCAATCAGTCAGTCGAAGAATAGCCAGCCAGTCGAAACAGGTTTCATTATGGCTTAAAGTGAATGAGCTTTACGCCGCAATCAGCAATATTTCAACTGTATGGTGGCGGTCTGTAAATAATCGAGTCTGGACCAGACAATCCAGTGATCAACAGCATGAGCATTGATCTACGCAATTGGGATGACATGTGTTTACAAATGAGTTAATGCCGCTGAAAAACTTTCTACACAGATTGACCCTAACATGGTTGAGTTTGATGTCTAGTGGGGTTCGTTAAGTCATGTATATCTGACCAGGCGGAAGATGACATGTGTCAACCAAGTCAGCGAGCCTGACCACCCGATCCCTTTAGTCGCCTCTTACGACAAGCATGGGTTACTGAAGATCAATTCTAACCCGGATCTTCACGGGTTATGGCTTAAAGGACAACATAGGTGCAAAAATATATACATGTACCAATGGTTCACTGAAAATCAGTGATGACACCAGGTGTTCGCGATAACGGCGTTGTCATCCTGCCACACTGCTACCTTCTATCACTTATATAATTTCCATGATAAACGTTTGACCAGTTTGTTTTTGTTTTCTGAATAATAAGAATAAATAATTCATTGTTCCAGGGCACAATGTCTGAGATTTCCCTCGTATCGGATATGAAGGATGTTCTTACTTCCTGTCCCGTCTGTTCCAAACCTTTTGACGAAAGCTACCGTCTACCCCGCCGTATGCCATGCTGTGTTGAAGCCGTGTGTGAACCATGTCTCGCACCGCTGTACTCCAACGGCCGTCTCACATGCCCACTGTGCCACCGGCAGCACAGCGGCTACAAAGGGGTACAAACCCTCCCGGTGGAACAACTCATCTTGAAAATGCTATCCCAGATTAACGTCAATAAAAGTCATCACCTACCTTGTACCTACTGCCCTTTGAACAACATAGCAATAGCGAAATGTGGCCACTGTAGCGTTCTTCTCTGCCAGGCTTGCTTAAAGACTCACTCCAAGAACAAGCTGCTCAAAGACCATAGTGTTATCATGTTTGAAGACATCAGAGCACATCGGATCAATGGGCCTGGAAGCCTGTCCCGGACTATGAGTCTTCAGTCCATGAACCTCCTGAGTCAGTTAAAGGAGAAGGACCAGGGTCTTCGAGGTCGGATGGAAGAGCTGCAGGAGTTGCAGAAGAACGTTGCTCTGTCAAGGAAGAGGGCCACGGAGGACATCAACAGGTACTTTGAAAACCTGGCCGATGAGATGGATCAGAGGAAGGCTTTGCTGCTCGCACAAGTGGAAGAACGGGCAGATGAGGAGGATACTATTCTTACGCGTGTCATCGAGTCAAGAAATCATCTACAGGAAAGGATCAAGAAAATCACCAAGAACTCTAGAAGTCGGAAGGTTAGAGTCTGTGGCGGCCCAATAAGAATATTCAGTTGATTATTTAGTTAAAGAGAAGTGTATAGTGCAGTCTTATCTTTATCCTCGACGACTCGCACTTTGATGCCTGCTAAAATTGTATCGTGTGTTTACAAAAATGAAAAGAAACTTACGCACAGACTGACCCACAGTAGAGTCTAATGTCTATTGAGGTTCGTTAAGTCATGTGTAGTTGACCAGGCAGAAGATGAAGTAGATACAATGTTACAATGACCATTATGGTACGAAGGTAACTGTCATATCAGGAATATCTTTCAACCAAGCTGTATATTAAACGATAAGTGGATGCGATCCGGCCGAGCTTTAAGGAACAAATTATGATCCTTCTATCCACTGGGATTGTCTTAGTATCCAAAACATTTTTGCCACGAAATGTATCACTAAAACATGTTAGATCGTTTAGGTTCAAGAAACAATCTATTTTTTAAATAGAGCCTTTCCTCTTCTGAAATCTGGGACCTTCTTGCCGAGTATCCAGAAGATGTGGAGTTTCACAGGAAGGGCGTCAGCTTCGTCACCTCAAACGCTGAGCACATATCATCACTCATCAAGACTACGGGGCTAGTCCGGACTGTCACCTTCATCCCAGCAGACAAGCCCGAGGGAGTTCCTGATGCCGTCATGTACAACAACATCCACGTGGAGACTACTGATGGCTATGATGGTGAGGATTCAGGTGTATTACATTGTCTGCAGTGTCAGCAATATTCGTTGTGGCAAAGAAAGTGAATTTCGTATAAGCTCGCCTTGAAGTTCAGGATAGTTTTTTTATATAGCGCCTAGTATCCTTCTGCCTAGTTGTTCACTGGACGCTGTAATCAGAATCTGATTATTATTACCCTGGATAACCCAAGCTGCCTGTTAGGCGCTAGAAGGTTACAGTCACATGATTTTATCCCTCCGGGTACCCATTTTCTGCTGGGTGAACAGAGGCAATTTGCCTAAGGTGAGACCACGTGTATCACATGTGCTTCATTGTGGGGCAGTCCTAGAAACTCTCAGGAGTCAAGCTGCCTAACACCGTCACCCAAGGACTGTCTGAGCTCGACGTTGCTTTACTTCAACTGATTCGTGACCTGAGCTCTACGCACAGGACCACGCACCGCCACAAGTATAACCATGATGTGTGAGAGGTGATGCAGGTCGGAGAGGTTTGGGGTTAAATCAGAGGTATTACTGATACGAGTGGAAAATGATCTGTTTATTGATGCTGCAGCTCTGAAAATGAAAAGAATATCTACTAGACCGTTACCGGGCAATAGTTGGTGATGTTCTGAACGACATTGTATCACATGTTTGGCAGTCTGCATTTAGATGCATATTGCTGATCAGCTTGCTGTAATATCAACGTTATCATTCTACTTTTTTACAGTGAATGATGGGGCTACCGGAGTTGTCTCCCATGCCACCGTCAGGAATGAACAAACATGTAAGTCTATGTTTTGCACTCAACAACCATGTAAGTCTATGTTTTGCAGGGCCAGTAACGAGTGGCTGTTTTGTTTGTTGTTTGACGTCGCACTCAACAAACATGTAAGTCTATGTTTTGCAGGGCCAGTAACGAGTGGCTGTTTTGTTAGTTGTTTGACGTCGCACTCAACAAACATACACACAACACTCACAAACTACTGACACAAAAGTACACATACAAACACATGCACACTCACTACACGCACACGCACACGCACACGCACATGCACATGCACGGGTTCAGTGAGGTTAAGTCAGAGACGCTCAAGTGATTTGTGATGTCATACTAATACCAGGGCTTCCGGATTCTGAACTGAATGCTCAGATGTACAATTTGCCGATTTCACTGATCATAAATCACAATCTCACCCACCTTAGTTTTATATTTGCATCGAATCAGGTCTTCTTTCTCTGTATGTAGCTTCCATGTTCTCTTTCGTCCAGGTTGCCTTGGAGACAAGATTATCGTCTTGGAAACTGAGCGGTCCCCTCTGACAATCACCTGTGAGTGTTAATAAAACAGACTGAACGTGTATAAAAACGCTGATTTAAGGCTTTGTTCTGTTGCATTTAAATCACAATGGATATTTTAGTTCACATCTACATTGATCCTTTCAAACTCACAAGAAGATTTGCACTGCTATCTTGAACAAAATCAAGTTTATTATTGAGTGAGTGAGTGAGTGAGTGAGTTTAACAACGTTTTGGGCACAACTGTATTTGCTTGATTAATATTGAATTAAGTATTGCCCCTTTTCAAAACGAATAAAGGACCAATAAACTTTATCCTTCCATTATGCAGGTGTTGGCTGTTGAAGTCTCTTCCACTCAGCCTTGCATCACCCTACTCTTGTTGTATTAGAACTCTTTTTCCAAAGCTACAACTGAATGTGCATATTTGTATTATCTTACTGTTGTTGTATGTACCTGTGCTGTGTTGCGCAATGAGCATGTCCTTTGGTGATGTGGAATTATGCTCGATGTCTTTGATGTACAAATCTAATTCTGGAAACCATGAACGTCTATTATTCAGGGATTTACGGTATTTCAGTTATAAAACAGTTTGATGTGGAATGATAGACCGTAGTAATGCGGTTATTATTTCGTTAAGGCTTACAATTACGTGTTTGGTGTTGACAAGCCCAGAAACGTATTCAGAGCTAACCAGGATTCGAACCCACTACCACTGATAGCCCCGCACAGCACATTGCGGCCTATTGACCGAGTCTGGAATCAGTGCCCAAATAATAAATGTATATGCCTAAATATAAATTTAACTCGTTTAAATTCAAGCATGCATTTGGACGTTGAACTCACTGGCAATGCACCAAATATTTGGATGTCTTATTTTCAGGCCCTTACCTAGAGTGGGACACCAGCACTGCCAGCAAGATGATTACAACGTCAGGAACAGTGATCACAAACGCCAGACCGGAACGTCCGCTAATGAGCACCGGATGTCGTGTTGAAGCAGAGAGACACATCCTAGCGTCCAGACCTCTGCTGATGAGGAATGACGAGCGCATCATGTTCCAGATAAAGCTGAGCTACACGGTGAAGATGCTTCTGCAGGAGAACAAGATGCTGTTTGAGGTATCCCTCAGTGACACCCCCATTGAATCTTCCTGGAACCAGCCAAACGGCCTCAGCGTCAACGTTGCCTCCTGCGCCGAACCCGACAAACAGCTGTGTCTCAGGGTCGTCTACGACAACAAGCTGCTTGAAGACACGCCCATTGCCCAGAACGAGGTCGGTGTGTCACGTGGTCTTCATCTGTGTTTTCTGCTGAACACTGCCAAAAACGAAATCCATGTGATCAACGTTGAGGATGAGAAAGTGATCAGCACCGTGACCGACGTGGACATGGACAGGCCTCTGTGGGTGATGACGATGCTGTCGTGGCCATCGTGGACCAACATGGCGGTAGCTATGATATCGGGAACGCGAGTTGACGTCACAAAAGACATGTACAAGTTACTCGCGTCTCTTGAGTGACAGTTCGAAGTTGTCCCATAACACTGCCATCTTGCGAGTAAGCCACACAACTCAATGTCATCGTGTGGCATAACTTTACTTCAAACATGTGTGATTTAAGTCTTAGACACTGCGAACTCGTTTTAGTCAAAACCAATCATCTATTAGTACTTTAATCGTACTTTTCTCAGATGTATGTCTCTCTTAATAACATACTTTTGTAGAGAGTGAATATTTATTTCTGTCACTGCTTCAAGACATGAAGGGTGGGTGTAGGGTAGCTTAGTGGTTAAAGCGTCCGCTCGTCACGCCGAAGACCCGGGTTCGATTCCCCACATGGGTACAATGTGTGAAGCCCATTTCTGATGTCCCCCGCCGTGATATTACTGAACTATTGCTAGAAGCGGCGTAAAAATAAACTCACTCCATCAAGACATGAATCACCCAAGCAGCTTGTAGAAACCAAATCATATTCATTACACCAAGTGAACACATTATAAACCACGTTATATATGTTTTTGAATCATATTCAACCCTCTCAACTCCTTTTCCCGCTGTTGCCTGTTGCGATTTCTCTCAAATCAAATACCGAAATAACAAATTGCGAGTCATAGTAATTGATGGAACGCCCACTTTCAAATACGGAATATTAACACCAAACAGTGATCATTCCTGATCAGCTACCGAAACTAATTTCTTTGAGCGAAAAATAAGAATAGGGATGGAAGTTATCTGGATGCCTCGCTGAAAATGGGTTCTAGAAAACCAGATATTCGAGAAATCTGGGTCATCCTTTTATGTTTGAACAAATAGGGTGCGATGCTTTTTAAGATAGTGTTATCATGTATCAATTGCAACCAAGTAATAAAAAGGAGAAGAAAATCAAAGTCAGCGCATATGAGAATAGGTTATTTTACTGTCATGAACAACCGTTACAATAGAAGGGTATCGAAAACACACGAAAAACATTTGCACCATAGACACAACTATTGCTCAATAGAAATCGGCATTCTGAATTGTTGTTCAGATTTTTATATATTATTAATGTGAATACATTTATGTGTGTTTTAATATACAATATATCTTCATGTAGTTTCCTCCAAGTTGTATCTTCCCATGATGACCAAGGTTAGAATTGGTCTTCAGTAACCCATGCTTGTCGTAAGAGGCGACTAACGGGATCAGGTGGTCAGGCTCGCTGACTTGGATAACATGTCATCGGTTCCCAGTTGCGTAGATTAAAGCTCATGCTGTTGGTCACTGGATTGTCTAGTCCAGGTTCGTTTACTTACAGACCGCCGTCATATAGCTGGAATATTGCTGAGTGCGGCATTAAACAACCAACCAACCAATTAAGTGGTTTCTCATTATGATTGTTATCAGCAAAACCACGTTGTTCCGTTATATTGTATAACATGTAGTGTACTGCTTCCTAGTATCTTAAAAGTAGATTGTAAAGCCTTATTTACAAACTAAAATATATATTTACATTTAATGAAACCGTTTGTGCATTCTGAGTCGTTTACATATAATAGAATATCGTTTAATGTTAGTGACATACAATTCTAACCATATGTATATTCACGAATAAAATAAACATTGTAAACAAAAGTATTTGTTATTATTTATACAAATGTTAAAAACGTGAGTTTACTGCCATTCGATGGTGGTCGGGTTGGTGTGTGGTAGAAGCGTGCGGTCGCACGTAAGAAGGTTTTCTTGTCTCTCCTCCCCCATGTTATCGCTGGAATGTTGTTCAACCAGTTCTAGACAAAGTAAAAGGTGGCAACATGCTGGCTTGTACAACAACACGTGTCAGCTGATATCACGGACACCAGCAACGGTATGTTAACTCATAGGCAAATATGGTATGAATGCATTGCAAATGCTAACTTATATAGATGTATAAACCTATAGTAATAAGCTCTCGAGTCCACTATTTTTCACATATATTTAGTAACCTCCTTAAGAATATCGGTCTCTGAATGCCATTAGAAGGGATAAATATAAGAGCGAACAATTATGAGAAGGAGCACGACGTTTCGGAGTATATTCATATTCCTTCATTACGTCTCTCTCTCTCTCTCTCTCTCTCTCTCTCTCTCTCTCTCTCTCTCTCTCTCTCTCTCTCTCTCTCTCTCTCTCTCTCTCTCTCTCTCTCTCTCTCTCTCTCTCTCTCTCTCTCTCTCTCTCTCTCTCTCTCTCTCTCTCTCTCTCTCTCTCTGTATGTATGTGTATGTGTGTGTAAAGTTTGGTGTTGTTTTGGTCACGAAATGCGTTCCTGACTACACTCCTCACGGTTATGCTTGACGCCATCCAAACCAAACATGTAGTGTTCCTGTGCCAACGTTTCGGCATTAACCTTATCTTGGGTATTTATAAACATGAGATCACTTTCTTATGTTGATATTGACAAGCCATACAAACCAATAACGCGAAGGGTGGTGTGTAACTGTTATAAATGTATATTTTGCAAAATTAGTTTATGCTTCATACTTTAATGCTAAATAATCATGCAAAGTACAAATAACTCTATAGCAAATAGATTTCTCAGCCTAAAAAGCTCAATCAATATAGTTTCATATCACAATTTTAAAAGGGTTCGTTGAAGGGCCTGTACAAATCTTGACGAAAGGAAGTCAATGAAGCATCTGTATAATATACCACTTGCGTGACTTTTATCAGGTGTTTTAGTCGGATTGAGAACACGTGACGATGTGGGTCAAACGTCTACACTACTGTACAAAACAAACCTCCTAAATCATACTCTTTCGTCTGTATAACAGATCCATTTTCAGAGTGTATGCATTACGTATGTATGTCATGATTGGGCTAATTCCTTATTTGTCATTTTAGTTTCGAATTGTGAGCAGCTTCTATGTCTTACGTAGCACATCTTTAATAATCCAGTGTTCCATATATTCATTCAACTACCATACTGGACCTGCATCCATTCGCCACAAAAGTAAATTCAAAAGTTGAGGTGAATTTTTTTTAATTGATTATAACGTTATTTGCTCTTTAATTTGTAAAAGAAATATATTTCAAAATCCGGAAAATATAACGGGTAAAGGCACAAGGCTTTCAACTAGGCAATTTAAAACTTTCCAAAGTGCCTGACAGTTTATCTCTTGAAATTGGACAAGATGTTATCACGCAGTCAGACTCTGCAAAAAAATCTTGGTGTCATCTTTCAATCAACAATGTCATTAGGAAATCAAATCAAATCACTCAGCAAAGGATGATTCTACCATATCTTCAATATTAGCAAGATCCGAACCGTCTTAGACTTCAACACCGCCCAGCTTCTAACGACCAGCCTTGCTCTCTACAAACTTGATTACTGCAACTCCCTCTATTACAACATGCCTCAACAGCTCCTTTCACAACTCCAACGGATTCAGAATTCAGCCGCCCGTGTTGCTGCCCGTGCACCACGCTACCAAACTGTGACACCTATCCTCCAAACTCTTCACTGGCTTCCTGTATCAAGCAGAATTCAATACAAACTTCTTCTTCTTACACACAGCTGCATCTATGAAAACATGTTTTCTCAATATCTTAAAAAGCCTCATTCATCTCCATGTTCCAAGCCGATTGCTCCGCTCGTCAAACTCCCTACTGCTTACACAGCCTCACATCAAAACAGCCATGGGATAAAGAGCGTTCTCTGCTGCAGCCCCCTATCTCTGGAACATTCTATTACTCACCCTAAAAGAAATAGAATCTGCTGCTGCTTTCAAAACTGCCCTCAAAACTCATCTGTTCAAACTCTCTTTTCCATAGACATTGTCAACAATCTTTTCTCTTCATAGCGCCATTGAGCAATATCTTTTGGAAATAGGCGCTCTATTAATCAATTATTATTATTATTATCATCAGAGCACGGGTTTTTTGGATGTGTAACTATGATTACTGCCCTATCGGTCAAATCGTGTTGAAACATAAGAGCTAAGGTAGTAAAGTTGTCAATATCATAATAGAACGGAGGTATCTGTTTCATGTTTTGATCTATACATAAGGATAAAGAGTGCTAAAGAGTGCCCATAATATTGTGAGACAAGAGGGATGACTTCATTCAACATGCTCATATATAACTTTCGTTTTCTGTCGAGCAACATTCCAGGGGATACAGACTGGTGTTTACATATCACACCTTTTTAGGTACAATCTCCCATGCTCTTTCTATCAAGGTTTCAAAGCCTGACGCACGGCACTCGCTGGACAGTTGGTTCAATGAAGGTTAAGGCATTTAAGGTGGGGCTTTCAAAAAGGTTTTATGGTTGACATGGTAAGGACATTTCCAAATGTGATCAGTGGCATAAATATGGCAGATGAGAGTCCCTATTTTAACTCTTTGTTTTAAATGTGTTTCCGTCTTTAGTTCAGGTGAACTAGTGCCTTGCCTTTGCATGTGTTTATGACAGGAGCCACAGTTGGAACAGGATACACTCAAACTTCAAAACAAAAACTTTGCATCGCTATTTATGCTCATGATATACATAGTTGGAATTGTACAATCGAAGATAGAATTCTTTTGTCGTTTTTATCTATTTTACACACTGGATAATCAAAGATGCAGAAAGGGTGAAGTGTTTCTTTCACTGTTTGAGTGACACGTTTGTCATACCCTTGTGGTCTGCTGTCTGTCCCATCCCGCGTGCCTCTGTTACTGTCCCTCACTGTCCGCGCAGGCTACGTCAGGTTCTATCTCAATGAAAATATAATTGTTGCTACAACTTGCATATTTGTGTGACCATGATTCTTGGGTCATAGTGAGTGACACTCGTAATGAAAACGCAGAGTGGTGCAGGCGACGCCCTCGTTACAACAGCCCAGGTTGTAATCCGCTAGCAGACGACACCCACAACTTGTCATATTGACAACTGACGACATCCAATGTCAATGATACCTGTAAGCAGACGACATCCGCAGCAAGTGACATTGACACCTGACGACATCCAAAGTCAATGATACCTACTAGGAGACGACATCAAACCTGACGACATCCACAGCAAGTGACATTGACACCTGACGACATCCAAAGTCAATGATACCTACTGGCAGACGACATCAAACCTGACGACATCCACAGCAAGTGACCTTGACACCTGACGACATCCAAAGTCAATGATACCTACTAGCAGACGACATCAAACCTGACGGCATCCACAGTAAGTGACCTTGACACCTGACGACATCCAAAGTCAATGATACCTACTAGCAGACGACATCAAACCTAACGACATCCACAGCAAGTGACATTGACACCTGACGACATCCAAAGTCAATGATACCTACTAGCAGACGACATCAAACCTGACGACATCCACAGCAAGTGGCATTGACACCTGACGACATCCAAAGTCAATGATACCTACTAGCAGACGACATCAAACCTGACGACATCCACAGCAAGTGACCTTGACACCTGACGACATCCAAAGTCAATGATACCTACCAGCTGACGACAACAGCAACAAGAGACATGAACGACAGACGACATCATAAGTCGGTAACATCTAAACAGCGGCACTAGCAAAGGCATCATACATACAAACAACATGTCCAACGGTCCGAGGTTTTCACCTGCGAGGTGTGCGATGAGTATATCTGACAGTTATAACTACTTTCTACTCCCAAATACATTTATGGCTACCTTTTCACATTCACAATATTTCTTTGCTTCAGACAAAAGCCTCAGTTGATATAAAAAGTCTCCCTACCTTCTCCTGACAGAGATAGAGCCATGAATATCAATCTATGAATGAACCTAAGGAGATTTCATTTCGAGATTTCTTTTTACAAAATATGTAATTTTCCAAAAACGTTGAAAATTAGTGAAATGCGATTTGTTTGAATGTGGCTATTTTATTCACGATTTTATCAATTTACTTGAGACGTTTTCGGGGAAAAAAGGAAAACAAATACATGGTACATGTATGAAATCCAAGCGCAACTTCCCGTCCACAGGAAAAACCTTTTATTACTTCTTCATCGCTGTAGTCACCTCGATGTTATATAATTAAATGTCGTGACCCGTTAGAACTGGTCGTCAGCCACCCACGTGTGTAAGAGGCGACTAACGGGATCCGGTGGTCAGGTTCACTGACTTGGCTGACAGTGTGACACATGTCGTTGTATCCCAATTGCATTGATCTATGCTCATGATGTTGATCACTGGGTTGTCTGGTCCAGACTCGATTATTTACAGACCGCCGCCATATAGCCGGC